TAAACAAAAAATCAGCAAAGAAATATCAATCCTAAATGACTCACTAGACCAGATGGAATTAATTGACATCTTCAGAACATTCCACCCCAAAGCCACAGAATATACATTCTTCTCAAGTGCACATGGGACATTCTCAAAGATAGACCACATTTTGGGACATAGGCAAAGTCTCTTCAAATTCAAGAAGATAAAAATCATATCAAGCATCTTCTCAGATCATAATGGCATAAAACTGGAAATTAACTACAATAAAAATAATCCAAAGAAATCAAACACATGGAGACTAAACAACATGCTATTAAACAAGGACTGGGTTACCAGAGAAATCAAGGAAGAAATTAAAAACATCCTGGCAACAAATGACAATGAAAACACAACAATCCAAAATCTATGGGATACAGCAAAAGCAGTTTTGAGAGGGAAGTTCATATCCTTACAAGCCTATTGCAAAAAACTAGAAAAAAGGCTAACAAATGATCTAACTCTACAACTCAAAGAGTTAGAAAAAGAGCAACAAGAAAAACCCAGTGTAAGCAGAAGAAAGGAAATAACAAAAATCAGAGCACAGATAAACGACATAGAGACCAAAAAAACAATACATAAGATCAACAAAACCAAGAGCTGGTTCTTTGAAAGGATAAACAAGATAGATGGACCTCTAGCCAGGCTAACCAAGAAACAAAGAGAGAGGACCCAAATAAACAAAATCAGAAATGAAAGAGGTGAAATAACAACAGACCCAACCGAAATACAACAGATTGTTACAAAATACTACGAACAACTCTATTCCAACAAATTGAACAACCTGGAGGAAATGGACATATTCCTAGAAAAATACAAACTGCCAAAACTCAATCAGGAAGAATCTAAAAATCTCAATAGACCAGTGACGTGGGAAGAAATTGAAACAGTTATCAAAAATCTTCCAGCAAACAAAAGCCCAGGGCCAGATGGCTTCACAGGAGAGTTTTATCAAACATTCAAGGAAGAACTAAAACCCATCCTCCTCAGATTACTCCAAAAAATCCAAGAGGAAGGAATACTTCCAAACTCCTTCTATGAAGCCAGCATCACCCTAATACCAAAACCAGACAAAGACAACTCAATGAAAGAGAATTACAGGCCAATATCCCTCATGAACATAGATGCCAAAATCCTCAACAAAATTCTAGCAAATCGACTCCAGAAGAACATCACAAAGATCATACACCATGACCAAGCAGGATTTATTCCAGGAATGCAAGGATGGTACAATATCCGCAAATCAATAAACGTGATACATCACATAAACAAATTGAAAGATAAAAATCATATAGTCATATCACTTGACGCAGAAAAAGCATTTGATAAAATCCAACACCCCTTCCTGATAAAAACTCTTAACAAGGTGGGAATACAAGGATCATACCTCAACATAATAAAAGCTATATATGATAAACCCACAGCCAACATTATACTCAATGGGCAGAAACTAAAACCATTCCCTCTAAGAACAGGAACAAGACAGGGATGCCCACTCTCGCCACTCCTGTTTGACATAGTTCTGGAAGTACTAGCCATTGCAATTAGACAAGAGGAGGAAATAAAAGGCATCCAAATTGGAAAAGAAGAAGTAAAGTTATCCTTATTTGCAGATGACATGATATTGTACATAAAAAACCCAAAAGACTCCATTAAAAAACTAATTGACTTAATAAATGAATTTGGCAACGTAGCAGGATACAAAATTAATGCCAAGAAATCCATGGCATTTTTATACACCAACAGCGAAACTACAGAAACAGAGGCTAAAAAAACAATTCCATTTACTATCGCACCAAAAAAATTAAGATACCTAGGAATAAATTTAACTAAGGAAGTAAAGGACCTATATGCAGAAAACTACACGACACTGAAAAAAGAGATAGAGGAAGATGTAAGGAGATGGAAGAACATACCATGTTCATGGATTGGTAGAATCAACATCATCAAAATGTCCATACTTCCTAAAGCAATCTATAAGTTCAATGCACTCCCCATTAAAATACCAACGACATATTTCACTGACCTAGAAAGAACTCTCCAAAAGTTCATTTGGAACAATAAAAGACCCCGAATAGCCACAGCAATCCTGAGAAAGAAGAGTAAAGTAGGAGGGATCTCAATACCAGACTTCAAACTATATTACAAAGCCACTGTTCTCAAAACAGCCTGGTACTGGCACAAAAACAGACATATAGATCAATGGAATCGAATCGAGAACCCAGATATCAACCCAAATCACTATGCTCAATTAATATTTGACAAAGGAGGCACGAATATACAATGGAGTCAAGACAGTCTCTTCAATAAATGGTGTTGGGAAAATTGGACAGACACATGCAAAAGAATGAAACTAGATCACCAACTTACACCATTCACAAAAATAAACTCAAAATGGATACAGGACTTAAACATCAGGCGGGAAACCATAAAAATACTAGAAACATCCACAGGCAGCAAAATCTCCGACGTATGCCAAAAGAACTTCTTCACTGATACTGCCCCTAGGGCAATGGAAGCTAAAGAGAAAATAAACAAATGGGACTACATCAAAATAAAAAGCTTTCTTACAGCAAAAGAAACCATCAACAAAACAACAAGAAAGCCCACAGTATGGGAGAACATAGTTGCAAATAATACCACTGATAAAGGTTTAATCTCCAACATCTACAGACAGCTTATACAAATAAATAAAAGGAAGATGATTGATCCAATTAAAAAATGGGCAATGGACCTAAATAGAATATTTACAAAAGAAGACAGAAGGAAGGCCAAAAGGCACATGAAAACATGCTCAAAGTCACTAATTGTCCGAGAGATGCAAATCAAAACAACTATGCGGTACCATCTCACACCTGTCAGAATGGCCAACATCAACAAATCAACAAACAACAAGTGTTGGCGAGGTTGTGGAGAAAAAGGAACCCTCGTGCACTGCTGGTGGGAATGCAGACTGGTGCAACCACTGTGGAGAACAGTGTGGAGTTTCCTCAAAAAACTGAAAATGGAACTCCCATTTGACCCAGTAATCCCACTTCTAGGAATATACCCCAAGAAACTAGAAACACCAATCAGAAAGGATATTTGCACCCCTATGTTCATAGCAGCACAATCTACAATAGCCAGAATTTGGAAACAGCCTAGGTGTCCGTCAGCAGATGATTGGATCCAAAAACTTTGGTACATCTACACAATGGAATACTATGCTGCCATAAAAAAGAAGGAATTCTCATCATTTGCAGCAACCTGGATGGAATTGGAGAACATCATGCTGAGTGAAATAAGCCAATCAATGAAAGAGAAATACCACATGACCTCACTCATTGGTGGACAATAAAGCTCTTTATGAACTGATGAACCAAGAGACAGAGATAGAGAAAGTAAAGCAACAGGCACACTGTCAAATTACAGTGGGGAGGGGAGGAAGATCTGGGGGAAATAATTGATCAAACGAAGGACTTGTATACATGCATATAAGTACAACCAATGTTCATAAAACTCTGGGGAGGGAGGGGATGGGTGGGAGGGAGGGAGGGGGGTAAAAAAAAATCAATAAAATATGTAAAAAAAAAATCAATAAAATATGAAAAAAAAATACACCATTTATAACCTAAAAAAAAAAAAAAAAAAAAAAAAAGAAACATCAGTGATTGATCAGCTGCCCCCTGCACACCCCCTGGTGGGGATCAAGCCATGTGCCCTTTCAGGAATTGAACCTGGACCCTTCAGTCCACAGGCTGGCGCTCTATCCACTGAGCCAAACTGGCTAAGGGGAGCCAGGGCATCTTCTCAGTGATGGCAGAGGCACAAGGAAACCAGCCCTACTGCACAGAGGGCATCACGCTTCTACTGCATCCTGCCGGTTAATGTCCCCTTGATCAAAGCAAATCCCATGGCTGAGCCCGTGGGGATGGTGGGGAGGGAGTGTGCTCACTCACTGTGAGTCTAAGCACGTTGGATAGGCAAGCCTAACATCCATAGAAAGGGATGCACTCTCCTCCCTGGGAAACAGGGTGGTTGGTTTTTAACAATAATCTGTAATAGATATAAACACAGGAATCCAGTTTATAAGTGTTCATGGTAGCAAAAAGTTGGCAACAGTGTTAGATTTCAAACACTAAAAAGATACTTAGATATAAATACATGGACACAATAAAATAAAAAGCAGATATTAAAAATGTTGTAGAAGCCCTGGCCAGTTTGGCTCAGTGGATAGAGCATCGGGCCTGCAGACTGAAGAGTCCCAGGTTCGATTCTGGTCAAGGGCACATGCTCGATCCCCAGCAAGGGGTGTGCAGGAGGCAGCCGGTCAATGATTCTCTCATCATTGAGGTTTCTCTTTCTCCCTCTTCCTTCCTCTCTGAAATCAACAAAAATATATTTAAAAAAAACAAAGAAATAAAAGAAAACTTAAAAAAAAGAAAGAAAGAAAATGATGTAAGAAAGATATGCTGTCATTGAAAGTTAGTCAAGCAGAGGCCCTAGCTGGGTAGCTCGGTTAGAGCATCATCCCAATGCACTAAGGTCTCAGGTTTGATCCCTAATCAGGGCACATAGAGGAGTCAGCCAATGAATGAGTAAAGAAGTGGGCCAACAAATTGATGTTTCTCTCTCCCCCTTCCTCTCTTTCTCTAAAATCAACCAATCAATCAATAAAAAAGAAAGAAAAGAAAGTCAGTTTGTGCCATAAAATGGGAACCACATATACAGTATGTTCCCAGGTTTGAGAACAGCTATGTATATTCACGCTTCCGCCCATTGAAGATGTCTGCCAAATTGTGAGTGATCGTCTGTGGTGGAATTCTGGAATATTTTTATCTTCTTCTTCTACTCTTGACGAATTTTATACATTTCTCTAGAATGACCATATGTTACTGCTATAATAAGGAAGAACGCATTTAAAACTTTTGTGCTAGGTGTGAAAAGTTAAGATTAGAGGCTGTTCTGAGCTTCCTTTTTTCCCCCTAACTTTTCAACAGGCAGCAAAGTAATGGAGAATGGCCTTCTCTTCAAAGAACTCCTGCAGACTCCAAATTTCCGCATCACGGTGGTTGAGGACGCAGACACGGTTGAGCTCTGTGGGGCTCTGAAGGTAAAGCCAGCCTTTTATTCCTGCTGGGGGGAGGGGTCCATCACGCATGGCCACTGTCAGCGTGGCTGAATCTAACCCGGAAGAATGAGCCCCATGTTCCGTGCACTTCACCACGGCAAAGAATAGTGAATGGAGGGCCTTGTTCATCCCTTCCTGCTCTGCCCACGCCTTTCCTGGTGGGTCCGGTTCCTCTCCCACTTCTGGTGTGCATTTATAAATCTGGGAGAACTGCAGTGTTTTGTTTTGTTCTTTGGGCAGTTGGCAACATTCATATTTGGGAAGCATGGTGAGCACCTCGATTGTAGAGGTCTACCTGGGGGCAAAGTCTCCTGTTCATTCACACGTTTCTCCTACGTGTTATCGCGAGTAGGAAAAGGAGCTGTTTCCTCTGAATTACACTGTTGGTGTGATGGTTCAGTGGGTTGTTCTTGTTAAAGGAAAGCAGTCTACTGCTTAGGGAGGTTTCTTTTTTCAAGAATCATTTTACCTCAGGGGGAAGGTCAGATTCAAGAAGCATTCCTATTGGCGAGGGGCTTGGGAGAGTAAAATAATGGGAAGTTTTCACACTGGGGCTCTTTACTTGCCTCCACTTAAAAAAAATTTTTTTTTAAATTAAAAAAAAAAAAAAAAAAATATATATATATATATATATATATATATATATATATATATATATATATATTGATTTCAGAGAAAGAGAAACATCCATGATGAGAGAGAATCATGGATTGGCTGCCTCCTGCACACCCCTCACAGGGGATCAAGCCTGCAACCTGGGCATGTAATTAAATTGGCATTGAATCGTGACCTCCAGGTTCATGAGTCAGTGCTCAACCAGTGAGCTACACTGGCCGGGCTTGCTTCTACTTTTTAAAGACTAGGTAGGTCAAGGTACCTCTTACTATCCTGGCTCTGGGAAGTAGCCTGGAGCTGGGTTGCTGAGTCATTTCTTTTGCAGCAAAAACTGCTTTTCAGGAATTTGAGTACGTAGGGAAGGAAATCAGGGATGTGGCATTCACTCACTTGGTTAGGTGAGAATTGCAATCATGAAAAGAATGTCGAGGAGACCAAGATCCAAAAAAAAAAAAAAAAATGCTTTCTCACTCTTTCTCTAAACTGTACATCTTGTTTTCTCCTCAGAATTTAAAGCCGCTTTCTAGAATTAATCATGTGTGTGTACGTGCGGTCATATGTCCTTGTACAATGAGAATTTTCAAAAAAATTAAAGCCAATCAAAGACTTTGGCCCCCAAGTAGCATGTGCCCATATTTCTAAATGCTTGAGGGTATTCTTCTCATTCTAGGCAGGTCCTGTTATATATTTGAGATTCTGGCTTTGGCTGCTCTGTTTTGTGTTTGTTGGTTGGGATTTTTATGTGTTTTAAATGGCCCTTCGTTAGTTTAATGACCACCCGGCAGTAGGACCATCACGAATGCCTAATTGCTCCGCGCTGGTCTGTGTGGCTCCAGAGCTGTTTTTAAGTGACTGGATATTTTAAGTGGTGGATGGGGATGCTGTGAGATCCTATGCTGGGGGAGAAGACTCTTGGGTGCCCGCAACCAAGGTACATGCCCTTGACTGGGATCGAACCTGGGACCCTTCAGTCCGCAGGCTAACGCTCTATCCACTGAGCCAAACCAGTTTCGGCGAAAGGTCCCAGTTTTGATTCCAGTCAAGAGCATGTACTTTGGTTGCAGGCACATCCCCAGTGGGAGCTGTACGGGAGGCAGCTGAATCGCTGTCTCTCTCTCATCGATGTTTCTAACTCTGTCCCTCTCCCTACCTCTCTGTAAAAAAAATCAATAAAATATATATTTTTAAAAATTGACTATGAGCCAGATTAGCAAGAGAAAATAACGAAATTTAATTACATACTTATATACGGGAACCCCCCTATTCCTGACCAAGTCAGAGACCCCCCACATATCTGAGAGGTTCCAAGATGGGAAGGGGAAAGGAAGTTCACGTGACTTCTGGGCTGAGGAAGGAGGCAAGGCTCCTGGGATTTCTGGGTTCACACGCCAAAGTGGCCCATTTGGGGAGGCCTGTGCTGAACCCCTTCATCATCCTTACGTTCTAAGATGGTGACCGGAGCTCCAACCAATCACATCTGCCTTCCTGGCAGGGTGAAAAATAGGAACAAAGGGCAAGGACCACGCGGCACCTGTCTTCTAAGGCAGGTCCTGGAAGTCCTTTGCCTTCCTCCCAATGGGCAGTGCTTAATGGTGTGACCATACCCAGCTGCAAGGGAGGCTGGGAAATGCCCCTCCCCCCTCCCCGGAGCCATGCATGACAACCAGGGACTCTATTACTCTGGGAGAAGGGGAGAATAGATTGGGGATAAACACACAGCCTGTGCCGCAGACTCAAGACATCCCTCGTAGGGCTGTCTGTGGTGAGGTTAACCACCCCTCCTTGCTGGGGATAATAGGTTTTCTCTAGGGTTTTGGCTTTGACAAACCTTGCTGGGAGGACAGCCTTGTACCTAGTCTCTAGCCAGGGCCCCTGCCAGACCCCTTTGGCCATATATGGCTGTTTGCATTTACATTCAAGTTAATTGACACTTTAAAAAAAATAGGTAATTCCGTTTCTGAGCCACAGTAGCCCCATTTCAAAGGCTCGGTAACCATGTGAGTGTCAATAGCCAGTGGCTACTGGCTGCTGTAATGGATAAGCAGGCATAAAATATTCATGTCATCCTCGCAGAAGCGTGTAGGGACCACACTGCTCGCGCTGAGACTGCTGCTTTCCCGGTGCGAGGCCCGGCGGACCAGGCGTGGGCTTGACGCGGGCCCCCTCGGCTTCATCCCAGCCAGGCTGCCTCCTCCGGGGTCCCGCCTTCGAACCCCACGTGCTGCGTCTCCTTATGTTGAGCCCCCCCCCAGACAGACAGAGCTCAGTCTGAGGCCCCGGGCACTGGGAGCTGGCCTCCGGACGGTTGGCTGGGTTTGGACTCACAGAAAACAGTGAGCACTAACTAGGTGTCCGTGGAGCCATTAGTGTCAGCATGGCCCTTGGGCAGCCTGGGCCGCCTCGTCAGTGTTAGATTCCTTTCCTGGGAGAAGGGGATGGGAGCGGGGGGGGGGGGGGGGGGGGGGGGGGGATCGAGCCCCCCCCCCCCCCCCCCCCCCCCGCCCCAAAGCAGAATTGCAAAGGCAGGCGCGTCGGGGCGGGTGAATGCCATCACGTCTGGCTCCCGAAAACGGTGGTATTTTTAGCTCCAGAGCAGATTAGAGCAGATTTAAACGCACGGGTGGATAACGATAACTTTCACAGCTGGGCGACCTCGGAGGACATCTGCTCCGATGCTATGCAAACACGATCTGACTGGCCACGTGTGTTTATCTTCCTTTTGACAGTGATAAGTGGGAGGGAGGGAGGGAGTGAGAGAGAGAGAGAGAGATTGAGCGAGGATTTCAAGATCCATGGTAGATTCAACTGGGTTGGGGCCTGAGGCCCTCTGGGAAGGAAGAGTTTACGCTGCCGTAGCCCCTTGTTCCCCCCATCCTGGCCCCCAGGGGGAGGTTGGCTGTCTAGTGGAGACAGTGAGGTGGCCCTGACCTGTATACCCTGCAGTGAAGGGGCCGACAGTGTGGCCGGAGCCCCCCAGGCCATGGGCACCCTTGTCCGCCTTTTCTCTGGGTGGAGGGACAGTTCTTCGGAGCTCAGGGCCCGGGTGCTTCCAGTGGCTGACAGCTTGCCCCTTTATCTGAATCTCTTCCGTTGAGTGGGGCCAGCTCTCCCTATTAGAAAGTCCTCATCTTGACCCTGCGTTGGCCCCTGTGTGCCCTGGAGCTGTGAGGAATGACCTCCCTGGAGCGGCCTGGGGAGCCAGCTCCTGGGCTGGAGACCCAGCTCTGCAGGTCCCGGCTGTGGGACCCTGCAGGCTCCTTATCCTGTGCACTTGAGTTTCCTCACTTCCCGCCCCGCATCAAGGACCTGCCTCGTAGGGATGCTGTGAAGATTGAATGCGTCAATAATATATGAAGCGTTGAGAACAGTTTGCTAAGGTTAACTTGGGTTGTTATTTTTATTATTTGCTCCCATAAATCTTTTCTCCTCCTGAGCCTCCATGCAGGCAGGCAGGTGGGTGGGCACTCCCCGCTGACATCTAACCGCAGGGTTCAGGCAGGTCTCTGACCCAGGGAGGAGGGGGTGACCAGGCCAAATAGGCCACAGCGTGGAAGCAGGCAGGCACAGGGAAGAGTGGGGCTGTGGAACCAGGCAGTCGACCCTTAGTACTGAGCCCTCCACTGGATGATCACCTTCTGCAGAGACAGGTCTAGCACAGGTAATGATCCAGCAATTCCGCTCCTAGGCATGTACCCACGAGAAATGCCTGTGTGTGGTCACCGAAGGGTGCTTACCTAGATGTCCTTACAGCACCCTTCGTAGTGACCCTAACCTGAAAGCTACCCCAATGCCAACCAATAAAAGAATGGGTAAATAGGTTGCACTGTGTTCACACAGTGGAATACAGTACAGCAATGAAAATACTAGTAATTGTTCTGCGTGTGAAAGCAGGGCTGAATCTCACAAACATGTCAGATTTGAGACAAAGCTATACAGAAAAGATTCCATGATCTTTTCTGTATGATTCTATTTGTATAAAGTTTAAAGATGGGTAAAATGAATCTGCTGTCATAAGTCAGGGGAGTGGTTACCTTTGGTAGGTGGGGTTGCGGGGGGCTCTCTGGGGCCCTGGTTATGTTCTATTTTTTTTTTTTTAAGGTGCTGGTTACATAGGCATGTTCAACTTGTGAAAATTCAAGCCGTGCACTAATGATTTGTGTTTTCCTGTATGAACATTATCTTTAAATAAAATATTTGATTTGAAAACAAACCCAGTGGATCCAAACAGTATTTAACCGGTGGCCACTATCAGCGTTCTAGTTTTCTGGCTGACAGCTCATCAACTGTTGCCTCCTGCTGACCCCAGATCTGGGCTCCCGTCCTGAAAACGGGTCCCTTCTCTCATCTCTCTTGCTCAAGGTCCAAGAGCAGAGCCGAGGGCTGTGCAGGAACCAGCGGTCCTGTCCCAGCCTCTCCCCACCCGCCCCGCACCCTCCCCCTCAGGGATGTGTGACAGCTTCCCGGCCTCCTTGTCTCCTTCGCAGAACATCGTGGCGGTGGGAGCAGGCTTCTGCGACGGCCTCCACTGCGGAGACAACACCAAAGCCGCCGTCATCCGCCTGGGGCTCATGGAGATGATCGCCTTCGCCAAGATCTTCTGCAAGGGCCAGGTGTCCACGGCCACCTTCCTGGAGAGCTGCGGCGTGGCCGACCTCATCACCACCTGCTACGGGGGCCGGAACCGCAGGGTGGCCGAGGCCTTTGCCCGGACAGGAAAGGTAGCCCCTAGCCTGCCCTCCCCACGCCCGTCTCCCCCGTGTGACCCCGGGGCTGTGGGGGGTGAGCACAGTGCAGGGGAGGGGGGCAGGGGGGGACACCAGGATTTGATGTGTGCTGGTTTGTCCGTTTGTCTGCTTTCACTTTGAGTAGTCGGTCTTACATCCTTTATCTTGTACATATATATATATTTGTATTGATTTCAGAGAGGGGAGAGAGAGAGAGAGAAACATCAATGATGAGAGAGAATCATTGATCAGCTGCTTCCTGCACACCCCACACTGGGGACCGAAGCCTGCAACCGGAGCATGTGCCCTGACGGGGAATCGAACCGTGACCTCCTGGTTCCTAGGTCAACGCTCAACCACTGAGCCATGCTGGACGGGCTATCTTGTACGTCTTCATCTTTCTTGGGCTTGTAGCAGAGGAGTGCAGCTCCGCCTTCCCACTCTCCTCTGGAAATGAGTGACTCTCTAGTCCTTACCGTAGATTATTTCTCATCCTTTGTTTTTTAAGACCATTGAAGAGTTGGAGAAGGAGATGCTGAATGGGCAGAAGCTCCAGGGACCTCTGACCTCTGCGGAAGTGTACCGCATCCTCAAGCAGAAGGGGCTGCTGGACAAGTAAGTCCCGTGTCTCCCCGAGACCGGAGGAACGCTTATCGTTCCTCTCCCCTCGTGACCGCCAGCCTGGTCCTTTGTGTGACATGAACGTCTGTGGCAGGAAACACCCACCTGTCCTGAAAATGGGTGTTGACACAAAACACAGACCCAGCTCAGCTTCAGGAAGAACAGCTTCATTCTTTGGATTATAAAATAGGAAGTTTAGGACTCTAGGTTGTTTGGTAAGACCTACGTGTTCCCCTTTTTAAATTAAATAATAAATGAATGCTTTGTTGGCTTCGTAAAAAGATAGAATATGTATATATAAAAGCCCAAGCGATCAAATGACCGAATGACTGGTCAACCAGTTGCTATTATACACACTGACCACCAGGGGACAGACGCTCAATGCAGGAGCTGTCCTTTGTTGATCAATGCACTCCCACAGCCAGGCCAAGGGACCCCACTCACGCACTAATTTGTGCACAGGGCCTCTAGTCTTATTAATAAACTGCCAAGCAATTCAGAAGTAAAGGGAAGACATGTAACCCCAGAATTCAGTCGCAGGCAGTGAAGGGACCTGTGTGAAGGTTTGGTGAGCAGCCTTGCAGCCTGCCCTCGTGTGGATGGATGGATGAATGTTTAGACAGATGGATGCATGTATGCATCTGGTCTCTGCTGCACTTTTCAGGCTGGTCACATAGTAAAGGTGGGCTCAGGTTAGCTTGATTTGCCACCTGATTGAGGAAGGAAGCTCCACAGCCACCACGGAAGCTACCCAGCCACCCTGAGGCTGCCCCTGGCTCTTTATCTTGCTTATTTGTTGAGCCTTCCTCCATAATCACGATGCTTTACATTGATGTTTCCATCTCTCTCTGCCCTTCCCTTATTCTCTAATGCTTGTGCAGTGTGTTCTGTGTATCCATAACTCTCCGTAATACTCTGTGGGAGAGGGGATGTCTGGTTGCCTAGAAGAGTAGGGGGCGAGGCAGCTCTGTGGATGCTGCCAGGATGTAGGTTACGGGCAGTGTCTCTCTAGTTGTGTTTCCTTCATCCTCTCACATCAATCCAGGTGTCTGCTGGTCCCAACCTGGCATCCTTACCTTTTCCCGCTCTCCTCTTTCTACCCGTAGAATTCTTAAGGAATGTGGAAAATGAGGGAGGACAGGGCATTTGTCTTCCTTCTTTCATTTGCATTTTATATTTCCGAAACGGCTTTCAAAATTGGCCAGGCAGAGATGGAAGTCATCAACAAGCCCCCAGAGGAGGAGAATTGCCTTTAAACCGTGACTTCCAGGAAAACACCTCCGACACGCATGGTTCTCCTCACACATTTAACAGCAGACAGCGACGCTCTAGTGTGCGTGGCCGGCCTCCTCAATGGCCATTCTGTCTTCATCAGGGATGTGTTTAACGTCTTTAAAAAAAAAAATACCTGGGTGTTTGATGATGGTTAGCATCTCCCAGTCACGATTTTAAAAGAGGGATCTGTGTGACGAGTTTATAAATTCACGCGTTGGCTGGCCGTCTGCATTCATCGCTTCACCCAGGAGGACACAGCCTGAAGCAGGCATTCTGGGGGTCGGTAAAAAGCAGATGTAATCAAGGAGGCAAAGCTGGGCTCTGAGCAGACACCTCTCTTCAGTCATGTCCCATTTTCCCCCTTCGGGCTAGACATTGAACAGGCTGTGCCGGTGCCTAATGAGGTCTCTGGAGGGGACACCTCCTCCTCCCGGGCCGACATGTAACGCATGTGGGACTCTCCCTCCCCTGCACCTGCTTCCCAACCTGCACAGACATAGAGTCCAGCTCTAACCTTCTCCTTGGTGCCACCTCTTGCATTGATTTTTTTTTTTTTTTTTTCATTCCGACCCTCATGACTCTGGTCTCCTTCTTATATCCTTCTCTCCTCCCTCCTCCATTGCTACAAAAAGAGCCCTGCTAAAACCGGTTTGGCCCAGTGGATAGAGCGTCGGCCTACGGACTGAGGGGTCCCAGGTTCAATTCTGGTCAAGGGCATGTGCCTTGGTTGCGGGCACATCCCCAGTAGGGAGTGTGTGTGTGGGGGGGGGGGGGGGGCGGGGCAGCTGATGGATGTTTCTCTCTTGTCGATGTTTCTGTCTATCCTCTCCCTTCCTCTCTGTAAAAAATCAATAAAATAAAATTTAAATTTAAAAAATATTTTAAAAATAAATTAATTTAAAAAATAATAATAATAAAGAGCCCTGAGCAGGAGGCAGAGTTGAAGGCCATCTGCATCTTACTAGCCATGTAGTCTTAGGCCGGCATTTTAGCTGTTCTGTGCCCCTGTCTCTTTATCCACAAAGCCAAACTGGTAGACCCGATGATCACCGTGGTCTCTTGTCCCTCGAGTGTTCAAATTCAGAGGCCTCCTGCTTTGACAAAATTATATATATATATATATATATATATATATATATATATATATATATACTTTTTTTTTTTTAAGTAATGTAGGAGATGGTCACAGGTAGCACACTAGTCTGCAGTCCATTAGGTCAGAAAAACTAATCCGTTGTCTGAGGTAAACCAGATGGCTTAACTTGTCTTTGCCTATTTTCCCCCAACTAGGTTTCCGTTGTTTACTGCCGTCTATCAGATCTGCTATGAAGGCAGGCCTGTGCAGGAGATGCTGTCTTGCCTCCAGAGCCACCCAGAGCATTTGTAAAGTGGACCGTGCAGCACAAATCACGTTTGGGGTTCACGTGGAAACTGGGACTTGGCAACAAGAGGTTGGCTTGACTGTAATCCCATCATGGATGAGAATGAATTTTTACAGGCTCGTTTCTGAATTCGAGAAGCAGATCATTGGCTAAGATGCACTGGGCGACAACTAGACGCACATATGTGAATGCATGAGTGTGTGTGTGTCCATTTCTCATTCTGTGGATGTTTGCATGCGTGAACCGAAATGAAAAGTCCTTTTTAAAGATTACTTTTGAAACTTTCCCACGGTGGTAGTTTATAAGATTGGAACTATCTCAGCTGAATTTTGTAGACCTAATTTATATCTTTGAAGGAATTTTTTTTTCTCTCCTTCTCTTGATGTTAAAATTTAACCAGCATTGATAACGTGGTAGAATGGAAGAGCGAATGCATTCAAAGATCAACAGACTGTAACTTTTAAACACTATCTCAAAGCCAGCATAATCAATGACTTTGTGAGTTGATCTCTCTCTCTCTCTCTCTTGGTTTTTTTTTTTTTTTTTTTTTTTTTTTAACAAGATGTTTTTAATTAGGTAATCCACTCTGTAACTCCCTCTCACTGCAGTTTTCTGCTTTTTTAGCCTCTTTTTCTCTTCATGAGCTGCCAGGATGTGCAGAACACAGAAAACCCCTCTGGGATTTTCCTTCTGTGACGGACACATTCTGCTGATTAACCACACTTCTGCAATGGTTTTTGTTTTGTGCAAACATTTCCTTTAAGCTTCACAGATCCTCTGAGAGGGGCTGCTGTTATTCCTTTTGAAGATGCTGTCACAGTGCCTGGTTACCTGATAAGGAGAGGGCAGAATCAGGAGGCAAGTCTAGTGCTCTCCGCCCCACCCAGGTGCCTCCGGGACCTTCTCAGATGTCCCTGGGCTGAGGTGACCTCCAGCTAATTGGTTGTGTCAGAGGCCACAGGCAGCCTTTCCGGAGGCCCTGGGAGGGCTTCCTGCAGCTGAGATGTGTGTAGGGCATTGTCTAGACTGATGCCACTCAAAGCGTGGCCCTCGCTTCCCCGGCTTCACTTGGAGTTTCTTAGACATGCAGGCTCCCAGGTCCCACCGCAGACCTCGGAAGTGGGGAACGGAATCTGTGCTTTAACAGCCCTCCCACGTGTTTCTGATGTTCACTACGATTTTAGAAGCACTACTGTAGAAAATTTTACTTCACAATAGCATTTCTCAGCCCATGTTCCAAGGCAACTAGTGTCCTGGGACCCAGCTGTGGGGGCTTCTGGGTATTTCCTGGCCAAGGTCAGGTGGGTGTGGGGAAAGCTGAATCTTGAAAGGTGTAGAATGTATGTTATTAGCATGCCAGCGGAACCTGTTTATGTAACCCAGCCAGGCCCAAGCACATTCGATGACAGAGATTTTTTTTGGCCAGGAAACCTGCAAAAGTTTCCAAGGGACACTGTTCTAGGCTGAGGTTACCTTCGATAACTCAAGTTTACCCATCTCTCCCCCCGCACGAAATTAGGATGAATAAAAACCTGTGGTAGTGTTCGCTCTCACTCTTTCCAGCTCAGGCCTGCCACGAAGCTCTGATGAAGCTTTAAGGTGCCACTGGCAAGTACAACCACGGAGGTGTCAGCTCCGCTGAAACGCACATTATGGGGAATAATAAGTGCTTTTAATTCTAGAATTAGAATGGGAATCACTGTATCTTCTTAAATGAGATTGGTTTCGGGATAGCATTACCATGACCTTAGATAGCACTTGATAAACTATTAGGGAACATACGAATGTCACTTATATATATATTTATGGATTTTTCAGTCACTTTGTGAGGTTTTCTGACCTTTTCTATTTCTGTGGGAATTTTTAAAACTCTATCCAAATCACTTTGGGGGGTGTCAGAAAGCCCCCTCCACAGAAGTAAAGCGAAAGCACACAAAATGCTCCAAGTTTTATTGATTTTAGTGCCACTATGAAGTCAATCAATTTTTTGCTTGTGACGTGATTCATGTTTTTTAAACGTTTGTACAAAGGTAACAAAGCGTACTTTTTAAGATACATAAAAGGGCCGTGCGCTCATTGTGGTGTCTATTGAGGAGGATAATCAGAGCTGAGGAATTCTGTCTTTTTTTGTGTTCTCACCTGCACTCACCTTTTCTGCTTGGGGTTTGTACGTGAGGGTTTTTTTCTTAGCAAATGGAAGTCTGTTGACTGTACCTCTGGAACATACATACGGTATGCCGCACATCATAGAAAAATGCAAATTTTATTATACATTTGTGCTCTGCTGTCGCTATTTATTACTCTGTGAGTTATCTATTTTTGTAATCACCTGTGGTCTACCATCTCTCACTAATTATGGTAACAAAGCGGGAGACATCCAGAAGAGAAGCTTAATCTGTACTACTTCAGCCAATCTGTGAATGTAAAAACTACACTGCTGCCTTGCTGTATCCCAGCCTACTGTAACGCGGGACAGTTCTCTGTCTTCAAACCCAGCCTCGCCGGTAGAGGGGAGCTGAGCTCGCCCTGGTTTTTCACTAAACTGTTGTAACTGTAACAAGGCCCCTGGCATCGGCCAGAGGAGTGGTGGGGCACCAGCATGCGAAGGGTTCTGTAGTTTTTCCATTAATTCTGATCAAAGAGCCTTTTACTTACATGTGTACTGTATTTGTTTACAGACTATATAGGTGGATATAATGGATATAATTGATATAATTTAAAAGCTTGATTTAATAAACATTTAACCCCCCAAACCTGTGTTACTGATCTTATCCTTGTTTAAAACCAGTTAATGGCTTTATCTATTTAGGGAAGCTCTTTTCCCCCCTGAATTGTACTGTGTTAACAATAATAAAAAGGCAATTTTTAAAAGAAAAGCTTCATTTCTAATTCCAGTCTTCAAACACAGCCCCAGTTACGGCACTTTGGGAAGGCAACCAGTCTCTCTCTCTCGCTCTCGCTCTCTCTCTCTCTCTCTCTTTCTCTTTTTTTCTCTCTCTCTCCCTCCCTCTCCCTTTTTCCCTCCCTCCCTTCTTCCCTCCTTCCCCACTCCTTCCCTCTCTCCCACCCTCTAAAAATCAATGGGAAAAATATCCTTGAATGAAGATGAACAACAAAGAATTTAGAGGACTACCATACCAGTCCCACTGTAAGTAAAACTTTGTTATTCAAAACTACAATTTTGTTAAAACAGCCAGCTGACTAATAGTTTTGGTGCTGAAATTTTACATAGGCACAAAATGGATCATGTAAATGACATGTTTACAAGGAGTGTTGAAGCAAGAAAAATTATTATTAAAACCAAACAAAAAAACCACTGCAAATTGACCTTTTAGGCAAAAGCCCAGAAGCCTCCTATGAAACACAAGCTGACCATGGGTAAGATGCTGGTCTGAGAAAATTCATTTCCAGTGAGCCATGACCCTCCTGTCCACTAGGGGTCACTCTTTGGGAATGGCTTTTCCTGAGGCGGTTGGCAGTCTGAAAAATAGTTACATCATTGTTCCTGTGACTTTATGGTCAAGTTTTTAGTACACTTTTCTTATGAAAAAAAGCTGAGTATTTGGCCGTTGTCAAGTGTCTAGGTTTCATTTGGACTTTTTAACTCAACACCGACCACACATTTTAAGGAACAGCATTTTTACTTTCACTTTGCACTCTACCCACTTAGACATCTGGTTGGATTTTTTGTTGTTTCTGTATCCTTTTCCCTTCCTTGGTGTTAGACACCCACTTCTGTCTGATTTGTCTAAATATGTGTCATCTTCTCCCCTCATCCTGACACTGCCATTCTAACGAAAGCAAAAACACCTGCTGCTTGCTCTTTGCTTTTAAGAAAGACCTGGGAACATACTTGGGGAATACTTCTACCGGGTGAACCTTTCATGCTTTAAAGAAGGTTTAGCAAATAGGGTGGTAGACATTGAAAAGAAAAATCCTGCCCAGCTGGCATGGCTCAGTGGTGAACTTTGACCTATGAACCAGGAGGTCATGGTTCAATTCCAGGTTCCAGGTCAGGGCACATGCCAGGTTGTAGGTTCCTCCAGGCAGGAGGCAGCCAAAGAATGATTCTCTTTCATCGATGTTTCTCTCTCTTCCTCCCTCTCCTTTCCTCTCTGAAATATATATTTTATATATATTTATATATATATATTTTTATATATATAAATATTTTATATATCTTTATTTTAATATATATATATAATTTAAAATAAAAATCCTTCCCTCTAGTCTCTCTTTGCATTATCTTTGGAGATAGGTAAGTCTTTCTCTGAATTTTCATTTTGAGGCCATTTTATCAATTCCCTTCTAAGACCCTGTCCCTAGCTTTGTTTTCTTCCATTCATATTCTTTATTTCTTAGAGTTCCTTGCCCTCCAGTTGCAAAAGCTTCTGGCCCCTTAAAATGAGTTCTCACTTTGCTTCAGGATTGTGGCGTTAGATGGGGATTCAAACTTGGAATCTCTGTGAATTTGGGCGAGTTACTTAACCTCTGTGGGCTTCAATTTTCTGGTCTGTACACCGTGTCCGGCTTCATGAGAAGTCAGGAAACAAGTCATTTGCTTTTCACAGTCCCCTGAACACACCGGGGACTTCAAGATGGAAAGTCCCCGGGGAGAAAAGGACGTCCATATTTGGTTTGAATTGCTTGGGGCCCTCCAAGGGAGATGTCCTGGAGGCAAGAGGACATTTGGTCTACAGCTCAGAAGGGAATGAGGAGTTAGGCAGTTGTCTGGGTGAAGGGGTTAGGAGAGTGAACGGGGGAGGTCAGGGCCCAGTAATAGCTACGTGAGCTAAGACGAAAGTGTCCAGGTAAGGTCTGGACAGAGGCTCACTTTTCATTTCCGAGGGAGCAGGGTTCATAAACCTGACTCCCATTCCTCAGGATGGACTCATCCAAGGCCCCGTTCTCATGTTCGTTTCAGCTTTATGGAGGCAGCATTGACCAACGCGATGATTTGATACATGTATGCATTGCAAAATGGTTGCCACAAGCTAATGAACAT